GCCTAAAAGTGGGCGATACTGAATGCACTTCTTGTCCGTTAGAGCGGGAGGAATCTGTGCGGTTGCCTTTTTGTGGCTGCCCGTGTGGTAGTCCGGACTTAGCATAGAAAGTTGTGGGTAAACTTTTAAATCTGACCCTGAGCAGAAACTGGGTAAAAGCCAACAAATATGAAAGGTGAAACTAAGGGATCGTTTACCAGAGACCTGCAAAACGTGCAAAGATAAAAGCTAAAATTCTTAAAGAGTAATTAAAATGGATAAGCATTTATGTGATGGATAGATAACTTTACGGATTAAAGAAAATTTAATAATTATGTAAGTATTAATGAACAGTTAGACTGCAGCAATCGAGGCAGCGAAGCTTAACTCCTCTAGCTGTAATTTATTTCACGAAATAAAAGGAAATTCATTTAGCTGTCCCGCAATGAGTATTTGGAGACCTAGTTTCATTTTAATACTGCTCAATCGAAATTAATAATTTATCATATCGATATTCAATTAAATATATTCGGTTGATTGATTTTTAGTCCAAACTTACCGGTTGTATTGCCCTATGCTGGTGTTCAACGTCCTCCGTCAAAGAGTTGCGAGGCATTTAATCAATTCGCGTATCACTTGATTCGGTTGGCTACGGTTGGACCTGTCCGTTTATTTTACCGCCTTTCATTCTGTCGTCTCTGAATGTGCATGATGAGGCAAATAAATACGTATGCAAATCCGTGAGTCAACTTGCGAATCACTTGGCCCACTGACAAGCACCTTCAATAGCAGCTAAGCAGTGCGTATTTGCCCTTCGACGCGGGTTTTATGTGAGTATTGTAATTGAAATCGCACCGAGACGTGAAATGAAACGTAAAGTCATCGAATCAATTGAAATGAAAATTAAATTAAATGCATGCGCTCATACATATATTCATACTAGTCTCTTTTTCTCACTCTCTCTCTTTGCCTCGCTGTGTTTGTGCGCCTGAGTGTGTGTGAGGGACAGTGCACATATCTCACACATACTCAGATACAGTCACATTCATAGTGTCTGTCGCCTTCTTACACACACACTCACGCATCAACTGAATCTTAATTAAACACAGACACGCATATTGAGTTCCTTGAATGGAAGCAGCAATCGTTTGACTATGACTCACTGTATAATTGATGGGGCGGGTCGAGTGGGTGGACATGTATGAAAGCTCTTACAAGTTTCCTCTTCAACTGAACATTTTTATGAAGCTGTGGTGTGTGCGTATAAAAGTCATATTGTTGTAAGTCGATATATCCTGTCCGTCTCTCTATTTATCTCTCGCTCTCTATAGAGTGTGAGAGAAATTCTGTAAAAAAATTAATTAATGATTATAAAATCATGAAATTCATTCTTACACGTTTTAGATGAAAGTATAAAGGTTGCCCTTATGCATTTTATGCAAAATTAATTTTTATAAAACTCTTACATTTCTATATATAAAGAATATATATAGGATTAGAGTGAAGCTTCTTCACTATTTGATTCATTTCTATTATTTATTTAATTTTTTGAAGTCTGAGTGATTTATGAACTGTTTGTGTATTTATTGATTGATTAATTGTTTGTCTTTTATGTGCCTGACGATTCAGTTGGTAATTGAGCGTAAAGCATGCAGTCAAAAAAGTTTAAAGTGGTTTCAATTATGCTGTCAAATGAAATACAGTGAAATAAATCTACAACGCATAGCCCAGAAATTGTTAGAAATAGAAAAGTAAATGCGTAGCCTGGAGTGAGAGGTTAGCTCTCTTCAGTCTAAAAAGGTTGTTTAAATATAAAAACCACAGAAGCTCAACCGAAATGAATTTTATTAAATTGAAATGAAAGCGATGTCTCCTACTCCCTCTCCGCTTTGGCTTTGTACGTATATACTTTTTGAATGTGTGGCTCTGTGTCGCACTGTGCGTATTTATTTAGGCAAATGAATGCAAAGACGCAGCCACAAATCAAATTTCGGCTACACAAAATGCTGCTAGCGAATCCGACAGACATTTGGATATGCTTTTAGCGATACATATTTAAATTAGTTGCGCTGAGGCTGTGAGGTGAAATGAAATCATAAGTGGAAATCTAATAATGAGACCGCAAGTAATGCTGGCTATCAAATCAAATAAGCTCAGCCAATCGTCGCATGAATTTATGACATATGCAAAGGCCAAATGTGGCTAGAGCTGAGTTCTGTCCTGTTCTGTCCTTTGCTGGACTGGCTTCTTCTGTCCGGTTCTCTTCTCTCCTGTCTTCGTCGCAGTCAGGTAATTCCATTATGGACCAATCGCATTTCGAATGTGGCACAACAACAGCAACAACAACATGAGCTGAACATTTTATGGTATGTGAAGTATATGCAAAAGCCTTGTCCAGTTTTACTTGGCAACGCTGGGTAGAAGGAGAAACTGAAACTAATTTTCCACCTAGCAGCACAATTCAAGCCAATCAAATAGCTGCTGCTTTAAATTCGAGCTCGAAACCTCTCGGCGAAGTTTCCCTGCAATGTACAAGTATGTACAACTGAATAGGTATTCAATTTATATTAATGTTTAGGAATGTAAGGCTTCTGGCAAATTCAATGTAAGAAAACCATTACATTTATCTATTTTTACTCATAAAGAAATAAAAGAAATTCTCGCCTTTCAATCGATCAATTTTGCAAATTTGATTGAAGTTGATTGTCACTGGCAGTTAAAACTTTGTGTTGATTTTAATTAAAATGGTATCTAGCAATCGGAGACTGGGTAAGTAAATGTCATATATTTTGCCTAAAATATGAACAGCGTTGAGCACGTCAAAGAAAAAGAAACCAAAAAATATTGAAACACGAGTCGGATCGTTTGGTGCATGTGAAGCAAGAGACAAGCCAACGTTTTACCCTGAAATGTATGAGGAATGAACATTTTGTGGCCACGGCACAAACACACACACGCTCACACACACTTGCACACACACACACACACACATGCACACACTCACGCATAGGGACATCAATGTCAGGGAGAGTAACAAGGCAAGCAGACGCTGGCAGAGCGTGGGAATTGGGAGCTGGGTAACTGAACGCTGGGAAATGGAAAATGGCAACGTGTAACGGGTAGCTCGTAGCTGGTAGCTGGTAACTGGGAATAGGGGTTGTCAGGAGCTTTGCTGCGTTGGCACCAGTTTTGGCGTTTCCTGCAGTCACTCGACTGATTTAAAATGTTGCCGTTATTTATACACGTAGCCAGGCTATATAAACAGCAGGTAGCAGTAGCCCCCTATTCGCTGCTTGCACACCCAGTCCCTGATCCTGCGCGATATGTGTGTGTGTGAACAATATTCTCACATTTTTCATCGTTTACTGTGGACGCTGCAGCTCGACAGCATCGTGCTAGTGACTGACTGCGACTTGGCAGCAGCAACAGCACCAATAGCACCGACATCACCATCAAGTGGAGTAACTAAAACAGCAACAACAGCAGCAACGCACACATCCGCGCCTTTTGGCACAACCCTTGCACCGCCCACCGAGCGCTGTCAAAAGAGATTTTTTCAAATTAACTTTTCATATATTTATGTATGTTTAAATTTGAGCTCAACCTTTTTGTCAGTTAGCAGCAACACATCATCATACACAAATACGTTCACACATGCAGACATACATAGCCCCATGTACACATACCTCACATACTTTTCTTTGTGTATCTGTGCGTGAAGTAGTGTTGGCTTCCCAGCATGTTCCTCAATTTGTTATTTTCTCTGGCGAAGCCTTCTGGCGCCTGAATGAATGTGTCATAAACGTTTCAACTAAAAAAAAAGAGCCGCAATACCAAAATAAATATGCAAATGTGTACAAGCCAAAATACTCGAAATGAAAGAGCTTGCAGGGTGATACCCTGTAGACAGTTGCAAAAAGTTGCAGCTATTAAAATAAGTTTTGTTTTTATAAATATGAGTTGAGAGACGGATCCCAAATGGATAAGCTATATGTATCTGAGGTGTATAATCTTAAAAGCTTGTTCTTCTGTTCCCAACGAATATTTGAGGATTACAGGGTATCTCCCATAGAAGAGAGACACGTGAACCGCAAACACACATATTTTAGCATATGGTGGCCGGCTCTTAGTGGAAAATATGTGGAGCAAGACTAAACTTAAGCTGACATTTGTGCGTTGCGGAAACTCAACATTGTGTTTTCGTCCAATTTTTTAGTTTGTTGGTGTCGGCATTTTAGTTGCTGTCCTTCATAAATTTCGGAAACGCTTAACAAAGTTTGCTGCATGAATATTTGATCATGCGCTTGGTATGCGACATAAGTTTGGCTTGTACATTTTCTCGAAAACGTTGCCTTCCTCATTATAGCAATTAACAGAATTTATAAACTCCAAAAAGCTGGTTCAATTATCTAGTCAAACTACTTGAAAGCACTGCTAACAATTTTAGCATCCAGCCCAAAAGTTGAAACTTTAATTTTATAGAATGCTCAATAAATGACGAAATCAGCTGGCATTTCAATTAAGTCGACGTCTTCGCCAAAGTTAGGAAAATGTAAAAATATTATATATTTTTAATATATTAGCTTATTGACACAGTAGGAAAAAGTGTGGCGGTTATTCTAGAGTCAACATGTATTATTAATCAGGATAACGAGCAAGTTGATCCTTAACAGCATATTAAGCCTAAAGAATTTAAACTTTACATATAAATCTATATTTCAGGGTGTATTTGAAGGTCAAAATAGGAATGAGTAGACTATTGAAAGAACAGACTATTCATATTTCCTATTTTGGACAATTAGCTGAGACTTTATTTAAGCCTCATTCATCTAGATGCAACGTGATTCAATTTCATAGCATTTTCTGCATGTGTGTTAGCTAGACTGAAGAATCAGCAGTTGAGCGCCATGCTTAGGATATCACTGAGTCGAGGTCGAGTATACCCGACTAGATCACTTCAATTAGTTATTTATCTCTTTCGTCCCAAGACTACAGTTGAAATATTTCTTAAAATCAAAGGGTGCTGGAAAAGGGAATTTGAGGTTTAGTTAAACAGTCCCTGACATAATTAACGAAAAATTCTTGAAAAGAACAAAACTTGTGAATTAACACATATATTACCATAGTTTTTCAGAATGTACGCCAAGTAAGTGGCTATTCCAATTTGAGTTATGAATCAGATAATCAGATAAGTCTTTCAGATACCTTAGCACTTTCTCCCCAGTCAAACGATGTGCCTATATTGCCAATAATATCTGTGGCCGTTCGCACAGCCTTGGCAGGTTCTCAATATTACAAATCGCGCACTACTCGACGGCGAAAGGCCACGATGGTAAGAGCGAGAAGCCTCCAGGGGGCAATCAGATACCCTCAGGACCAGCCGGTACAGTTCAGATGCGAGTAGTGCAACCGACTACAAATAAGTTAAACTATGATGAGAGGAATATGAAATTAGGTCGTGTGCTCTCCCCACATTTGAGTATCTATAGGAAGCAATTGACCTCTGTGATGTCTATATTTCTGCGGATAAGTGGAGCTGCTCTAGGCCTTGGAGTTTGGATAATTGGTTTGACAGCGCTATTGTCCAAAATGGACATCAATGCCTTAGCAGAGAAGGTTGAGTCGCTTGATCTCAGTGGGACAACGTTCACGGTACTCAAGTTCTTAATAATTTTGCCGTTTAGCTATCATTTGATGGCTGGAATACGCCACTTAGCCTGGTATCTGAACGTGTTCCTCACCAAACCAGAGATATATATAACTGGCTATGTAGCCTTGGTAATGTCACTGCTTCTTGCAGCATGCTTAGCCTTAGTTAGTGTTGAGCCACAGCAGATTGAGCCTAAGGAAGTCGGCCAAGTGCAGGACCCTGAATATCCAATTTTCGAGGAAGATACCAAATCTGATATGGTACCCGAAGCCCTTGACGAATGCGACGAAACTCAAGAAGATATTAAACCGGTTCAGAAAGGGTGTTTGTGTGAAGACTAGAATTGGAATAAGCCATGACCGTCAAGGCTTGGAATCGAAATATGACACAACCCTTATATACATGACCAAACGACGAGTGCTATGTAGGGCTCACAAAATTCACTAAGTGATCAGTTTTTAGAAATCATTTTAATACTTTTCTCTTGACTAGAAAATCGGCCAAAAACACTGATTGTAAATAAATTGCAAATATATTTTTTAATTTCTTTCATTTAATTAAAGTGGGGTATATGTTTCATGTACGTCAAAAGACTCCACCTAAAATAATGAAAACACAACTAAGGCGAACAACTAAGAGCGGCAAAGAGACCAAATTAATGTGAGCAGTGGCGAAGAAGCATCAAGTTACTGAAATGAAAACACGCTACGTAGTTTTAAGCACATCATCAAAGTAACTTAAATAAAAATATTTAATTTAATGAAACAATCCGAAAAATGCGTTTGATTGTATGAGACAACTGAAGGTTGTATGGCAATTGTAGTGCATAATCTACGGTTCATTGGACCTGAACAGTGGAGTGCTTGCCAGGCGAGAGACAGTCGGCTATGTAGAGAAAGCCATTAAGTTTATTAAGAACCTTTAATTAGTTTATACAGAGCTGGAACTCAGGAACGAAACGTAGAACGCGTCTACATTTCATTAATTACGAGCTGTCAGGGCAACCAGCGGCCACTTTAGGATACTACTTACCTTTTGATGGCCCCATGCGAAAACTGGCAACAATAAAGCCTGAGAGTGGAACTGGAATGAGTCCAGAGTGATGGTGGCTGGGAGGGTAGGTACTCCAACTGAGAGCAGAGGGTTTTGATTGAACAGTCGCTTCTTAAGTTTTGACGTTAATCTTTGATAACAGAGCGCGCGGACGACGTCAGTTTTGCTGACACTTCATTATGCGATTTTAATATGAATACATATATATATATATATATATATATATATATATATATATATATATATATATAGAAATGTATATATAAATGAATAAATATGTATGTATGTGTGTGGGGTATAACAATGCCGTTAGCCGATAAAATCTCATTTGGCTGCGAAACGTTTGATCTTAATTAGTGTACTTGAATGTTAGCTCATTCAATCGAGTGTCGGCTTTACATCAGCATCAGCATCAGCATCAGCAACAGTAACAGTAACAGCAGCATCAGCGAAAGTAAGAAAATGTCGCAAATCACCAAGGGGCCTGCCCTGTGGGGAGTGGTTAGGCTGCCTTCCACTCTTCTTCACGCTTGATTGGCAGTCTTGCTTCTTGCTCCGGCACTGATTTTCTCAGCTTTTTGTCTAAGCGGATTTCATTCGCATATTAATTGAAGTTTACACAGTGACAAAGGCGGGCCGCTGTGCGGCTAATTAAATAGAGTTCGCTGCGCCTTTGTCGCACACAAATTTTCCACGGTGTAACAGAAAAATTCGCGTCAAGTTGTCAAACACGAGGCAAACTTTTTAGTGTGAGTCAAATATTTTTCAATTAAAATCGCTGCTCGGCTATTTGCTCAGCACTTTAGCGTTTTGCATAAAAATTTAGTGGTCTCATAGTGGGAGTCCCCATTCCGCAGGTGGCTGGATCCAAAAAGCAACATGATGAGCATTTCTAGAGACTTGGCTGCATTGCTCTACCATCCTTAATCAAAGTGTAGCAGAACGAAATTGAATTAAAACTGAAAAAAAAAAAATAAATCGATTAAGTGAGAAACTTAAAATGCTGCGGAATGGCTAATAGATTTTGCTGTGGGCCCATTAAGAATTAATTAAAAGATAAAGACACAGGAATATAAATCATTTATCGGTATTTTAATACGCTGAGGTTAATTAAACTATTCATTCCTCTGACAAAGGCAACAACAAGAGATTTTCTTTAAAAATTCTATTTTATTTTGAAATAATATAACTAAAACCAATTTACTAACACTTTTGACCTAGCTAATGCTGAAATTTCGGGTTTTATTTTCAGTTATCAACGCACTAATTAAATAAACCCCTTAACAGTTCAGTGCACATTTTATACAAACACTAATAAAATTAAGCATAGGCCACGGGGTGCATACAAAAATATACGAAAATCTAAATTTGCAGCATACGCTGCAAGCATTTGGCTTAATCGCCTTAAACTTCAAGCATACCTACGTGTGCATATATTAAGGTGAGTGTGTGTGTGTGTGTATAAGTGAATGCTTACCTCTAATTTTTCTAAACTCGAAAATCGACGCTTAACTTTTTGAGTGGCAACCTGAGCACTGCAGACATACAAAGCCAAAATCCAAATGGGTGTTCTGGCAAATGTCGATAATTAGCTACAAAACTTTTAACTTGGCTATTAACACGCATTTGCTGCATAATGGGCCTGTCTGGCAAAGATATTGTGCTTTGGCTACCTGGCTTCCCTTCTTGGCTGGGCTGCGCCACGTGGCGCATTAACTCAAATGCCTGGGCAATAAGGCACTGTCTTGGCTTTGCCCAAAAACTTCTGCCGCCCTCTTTTGATTGCCCGTGGCAGCAACAGTAGCAACATTCTCAGCATTGGCACAACAATTGCCGCACACTTGACTGGCGTTGAGTGTTTCATAATTAAAGGCGAATAGCAAAAAAAGTGCTATAGTGAAGCCTTGAACTCTTTTCCTGGCAGGCGCCGTAGCATTTTCTGTTGCTGTAGCCGTTGCCGGTGCAGTAACTGTGGCTGTGCCTGTGGCTTTGCCTGTGGCTGCATTGCGTGTGGCGGCTGGCAGCATGGCCAAGTTGCAGCCACAATTGTTGCACGCACAGCCCCAGTCAAGTGGAAAAATGGTTGTAGGCGTGGCCAGCTCTATATATTTGCACAGTCTGCTCTGTGAACAATTTCATTTCATATTTTTGCCACCAGCCCTAGTTTTGCATGGCCTCTAATTACCTGTTCGCCTGGCGTGCACGTGCAACTTTTTGGCCTGATAATTTCTTAATACCGAACTCAGTTGGTTGACTGCTACATTGTGGCACTACCTGCATAAAGCCGAGCTTCTACAAAACTTGGAAGCAGCAGGTTCATTAGCTAACTGATCTAGAATTGATAGCAGCAATTGCATATGATTTGAAAACTTTTTATTTCAGCTCATTGGCTCAACTAATAAGCGATGATCCGTGATTAAACTAAGCTTTTAGAAATTTGATTATATGCTAATGATAGTGAAGAGCATTTAATGTGAATAGCAGATCAAATAAGATCTAGTTAATTTGGTTACTAGTTGTTATCGAATTATTTCTGATCAACTCTTTTACTTCACTTATAGTCAATAATATGTACCCAAGTACTGAAAATTTCTGTTTCCATTGAATGTATTTGTCAAGCAGCAGTCTCTGGAGTTTAAATTACAAATAGTCATTTTATTTCAAGAATTTTCAAACGATGTACTTATCTTAAAGGGGACAACAGTGCACTCATGTTGCACTTGGGCAAATACGTTGAAGGACTGCATTGGGCCACTTTGGTCGTGGCTGGTACTGAAGCCCTGCTCACATGTCAATTCAACTGCTGCAGACATAAATCAATAGTTCTCGGATGGCAATGCCAATTCCAAAAACCACAACACGTCAGTCTTAAAAATGAGCTGCAGCTGCAGCTGCAGCTGCTTTTACTGCCCATTGAGGCAAGTGTCCGTTTTGTCAGCAAGCACTAGCCAGCAGGCCCCAAATGGGCCAAAATAAGTAATTGCATTTAAGCCAGAAAAATTGCTGGTAGTTAAACTGCTAGCCCAACGCCAGTGTCTAATTGAATTTTCCAGCGCCTCGCCAATTTATTAATCCGATTTCAATCGACTTGCAAGTCCCAGGTGTAGCATTGCATTTCCCGTCGAATTAATGACATTTATTAGCCACATTTAGATTGCCATCGCTGAGACTGAAAACGTAAATGAAAATGAAAAGAAAATGAAAACGAAAGCATCCCTTTCGCAGTTATTTAACTTCTATAACAAAAAGTATTGCAAGTGGACTTAGTGCATTTCATTTGTAAGCATCGTAAGTTTGTATTTTAGTGTATTAAATATTATTATTTTATTACTTAACATGTCTAAATAGGATTAGCAAGTCGTTGCATTTCATCATTGCTTTATTTCTTCAAATATGTTGACATACATTATAGGCACTGTCTAAAGGGCTTTAAGTATTTATAGAGGACGTCACAGTGTTCGCACTTTTAAAGTAGCTCGTCATACACAAAACGGTCTCTTTAGGTGGCTTTTGCTCGTATGGTAATGACAGACTCTGTTGGTTGTTCTGCTGCACACCAATCACACGTTTGTTATCACAAGTTAAGCGCTCGAGTACTTAAGATGAATGAGATAGTTGCACTATATATGTATGCACTATACATTGTTAAGCTGATGAAAGAATTTTCAGAGAACTCGCCTATTTCGTGCTTTGTGCCACGCCCATTGTGCTGTGTCTATAAATTGGGTCAAATTTTTGGCTTTGGTTTCTTTTTTTTGGGGCCGCCTGCCTTTTAATTAGCATGTTTATTTGACTTTGACTGTACGAGTGAAAGAGCGCAAACTTTGCGCCACTCAGAGGCGCAGAAGCCGGAGGCATACAGGACGTATATGTAATTTCTGTGCGTATGTGTGATGTGCTGAGTTGAGTGTTGATTAAACAAATTGCAAATGAGTTTGGGCCTTTTTTGTTGTTGCTGTTTTTGTTGCTGCTGTAGGTCCAAATAAACATACAATGCTTTGGGTAAGACTTGCACTTGAATAAACTCTTATAAAACTAAATAAATAAACACGCACACACACAAAAGGAGAGAACTGTAGTTAAGCGCACAAATAAAAAGCAAATGCCGGCGGCAAGGCGTCTCTTCATCTAGCGCTTTCTATATGTATATATAGATATATATTTACTTATATATATATATTTATATATATGTGTGTGTGCAAATGACAGTGACTTATTTAAGAAATGCAATTTCAATTAAATATGCAAAATACTCAAAGTCTAATTTAGACAGCCACCCATTTGGGCGAATCGCTTTGCCTCGCAATTGCCATTTCGTTGCAAAAACTGGCAGCTACAATGCGCAG